TAGCACCAGTCACAAAGAGTGACACGAATTGGTGTGAGGGCGGTAGGGCCTGATGAGCTGCTTTTCTTGAGGGCAGCACCCGGACTGGCTTTGCTGTCCCCTTTCCCCCAGGTGGAGGAGGGAGTGCCTTAGCATGGGCCCTTACCATGGCGGGCGTCTGCGGCACAGGCCAGCTCTCCCCCACCCTCCCAGCAGTCCATTCTGACGATGGCTATTGCTGTGGCCAGAGTCAAACCCAGGATGACCGGTTACAGGCCCAAGACTAGACTCTTGGGGTCAGAGTCTAGAGATAAGGGACCCTGCCGGGCGCGGTGGCTCACGCCTGTAATCCCAGCCTTTAGGGAGGCAGAGACGGGAGGATAGCTTGAGCCCAGGAGTTCAGTACCTCTGGGCAATATAGCGAGACCCCGTTCTCCACAAAAATGGGAAAAAAAGAGATGGGGCCCTACCCTCTTTGTTCTGTGAGTGAACTTCTTATCTTGCTCAGTGGTCTTGGATTCATGAAGGTAAATCCTTAATACTGTTTTCAATTTTGGTTGCAACATACCAAAATAAGAATGTTCATCTTTGTCCCAGAAACCCCAGCTCTGTACTTTACGCGGGGCTGTATCTTGTATTCGGGGCAGCTACCAAGGACAGTTTGGTGATGTGCTGGTTCCTTTCTTACAGCCCAGCTGTTTTCCTGCCTCCTTTTGGGAGTAGTAGCCTCCCCCCGAATAGGAGCCTGGCCCAGAGCGAAAAAGAAATGGGCTGGGCGCAGTGGCACGCCTGTAATGCCAGCACTTTGGGAGGCCAAGGCAGGCAGACTGCCTGAGCTCAGGAGTTTGACACCAGCCTGGGCAATACAATGAAACCCCGTCTCTACTAAAAATACAAAAAATAAGCCAGGCGTGGTGGTGCGCACCTGTAGTCCCAGCTACTTGGGAGACTGAGGCAGGAGAATCGCTTGAACCTGGGAGGTGGAGGTTGCAGTGAGCCGGGATTGCACCGCTACACTCCAGCCTGGGCAACAGAGTAAGATTCCTGGGCAACAGAGCTCAAAAAAGCAAGAAAAAAGAAATGGGCCTGAAGTTAGTTCACTGCACTTTTGCAGCTTTTCCATCTCCTTGCAAGACTCTTCCAGGCTGTGATCCAGATGACAGGGCTCCGGGGCAGCATTAGTATCACTATCCAGAAATGCTATTAGCTGTTCAAAACCTGGCAAGTAACTTGCTGGCAGGTAACAGCCTCAAACCTCCTTCAGGAGTCATGACTGTATGGCCTTTGATGCAGGGGGAGGGTAGCTGGCTGTGGCAGCTCTGTCCCTGCCTAGCCTGGCGAAACCTGACTTGTGTGCAGACAGTTCTTAACTGCTGACACACCAAAAGCTCTAGGACAGGGATCCTCAAAGTGTGTTCCTTGGTTCAGCAGCATTAGCAGCAGCTGGGAGCTCGTTAGAGACGCAGGTCGTAGGCCCCACCTCAGACCCCCGAATCGAAAAGGTGCAGCCTGCTTGTTTTATTTATAATCTACTTTAACAAGCCTTTCCAATGAGTCTGAGGCAGGCTCAGGTTTGAGAACCACTGAGCTAAATGATTCAGCTTCTCACCAAAGAAACTTGGGCACATCACTGGTCCCTTGGCCCCACAGCTCAGATTTGGATCCTGATCTTTCCTCTTTCATCCTTTGTTTACTTTTTGAGACGGGGTGTCACTCTGTCACCCAGGCTGGAGTGCAGCGGGGTGATCTAGGCTCACGGCAACCTCTGCCTCTGGGGTTCAAGCAATGCTCGTGCCTCAGCCCCCCAAGTCGCTGGGATTACAAGCGCGCGCCACTGTGCCTAGCTAATTTTTATATTTTTAGTAGACACAGGGTTTCACTATGTTGGCCGGGCTGGTCTTGAACTCCTGACCTCGTGATCTGCCCGCCTAGGCCTCCCAAAGTGCTGGGATTACATGTGTGAGCCACCGTGCCCGGCCCATCCTCACTTTGAACATGTGGGGTTTATTCCTTTGTGACAATTTCCTATCATCTTCGTTCCCACTTGATCACCTGACCTTGAGACTCTGTCTCAAAAATGAAATAATGGCTTACTCACAAATGGGGGCATTTCACCTGCCATTCAAGGATGGCTGCGCCTGCACTCTGGGCGGGGTGAGGCGTTGGAGGGGGAGCCTGATTGATTTGGTAGTTTAGACCTTAGAGGTAGGGGAGAGGAAAATTTGGGCTCCCATATCCAGCTGTAGGATATGTAGAAATTTCCCCAAATGTGTGTGTGTGTGTGTCAGTCTCACTCTTGTTGCCCAGGCTGGAGTTGGAGTGCAGTGGTGCGATCTTGGCTCACTGCAACCTCTGCCTCCTAGGCTTCAGGCGATTCTCCTGCCTCAGCCTCCCGAGTAGCTGGGATTACAGGTGCCCACCACCACACCCGGCTAATTTTTGTAATTTCAGTGGAGATGGGGTTTTGGCATGTTGGCCAGGCTGGTTTCGAACTCCTGGCCTCAAATGAGCTGCCAGCCTCGGCTTCTCAAAGTGCTGGGAATACAGGCATGAGCCACCGTGCCCGGCCCAGGACCCCACTTTTTAAAAAATTGAAACCTGTCACCTAAAAGAAGGGAAGGCAAAAGAATGGATTTCACACCTAGAGCCTCCACTTGCTTTATGGAAACAGCCCCTTGTGATTTGGGTGGTGAAAAGATGTCTGAGGGCACTAATACGCGTAAAGGATCAGCCAGGAAACACGGGCCTCTCAGGTGACGGGAGGTACAATGGTAATCACACCTGATCCGTTCGCACCTTCACAGGAGGCCCCATTTTGGGAGGTGCGTGAACCTGTGGTCCACGTTCCCAACACTCAGGAGAGGGGAAAGCATGTGTAGGACACGCCGGTGAGATGGCAAAAGCTGCTGGGGCTGGGGCTGCTGGAAGTACGGGAGGTTTCTAGAGCAGGCCACTTGCTGGTGGCTGTCCCCGGCTGTCACCTAAAACCTCCAGGTCAGAAGCACCTTTTCTCCAGTTGGCTCAGGAAAACTAACAGACTCAGGGTTGGAATTTTTTTCTTTTCAGAATTTCCGAGACGTACAGATCTCTCCAAGCATCCCAAAAGGCGTTTGTTCCTGGTGGGGCCGAGGGCCTGTTCTTGGAGACAGATGGCGAGCCGCGGCCAGCAGCTGCCCTGAGTGCTCAACTTCCCCTCTAGAGACAGGCTTTGCCAGGCGCGGTGGCTCATGCCTGTAATCCCAACACTTTGGGAGGCTGAAGCGGGTGGATCACGAGGTCAGGAGTTCAAGACCAGCCTGGCCAAGATGGAGAAACCCTTCTCTGCTAATACAAAAATTAGCCGGGTGTGGTGGTGCATACCTGTAGTCCCAGCTACTCGGGAGGCTGAGGTAGGAGAATCATTTGAACCCGGGGGTGGAGATTGCAGTGAGCTGAGATTGTGCCACTGCACTCCAGCCTGGGCGACAGAGTGAGACTGTCTCAATAAATTAAATAAATAAATAGAGACAGGGTTTGCCCCTCAAGTCCGCCTGAGTCTCGGCTCTCTAAATCCTACCCAAGGGTGGCAAACTTGAGGCCCTCCTCCCTGCCCCCAGTGTCTCACCTCTGTGAGTGCTACCCAACCTCCTTCCCACCTCGAATGAAGCGACATGGGCAGGTGCCCAGCCGGGGGTGTGTTAATGACCTCACGGGATCAGCATGCACAGGGCCTGGCCCCACAGCCCAGCACCCCTCCCCACCTGGCCTTCACTGCATTTCTTCTATGCCCAATGACAGGTGACATTCGCCTGCACGACACTCCAGCGAGCCTGGTGACTGACTGGCAGCTCGGTGAATTCCAGCTGAGTGCCTGTGATTCCACCCCCTTACCTCCTGCTGGAGTGACAATGTAAGCATGACCTCGAAATTGACCTCACTTGTATCTATTCCTCTCCCAGTCACATTCCTGTCAGCCTTCACCATCCACCCAGACCGGGTTACAGAACACACAGGTGAGCCTGCGGCCGCAGGTTTCAAAAACTCACTTTATTCCAATGTGAAATGAGGACGTGATGGTTTAAAAACAAGAAAAAGTTCTTGCTCAGCGGTGGGGATACTTTGCTTGCTAGCTCACGCCCATCCCCTTTGAAACAAGGTGTCTGCACAGACCACACCCAAAAGCAGCTCTCCGTAAACCCAGGCGGACGCCCGTCTCCTCCAGGTCTCAGGGTGGTCACATCCTCCCCAACCAGGGCTCTGACAGCAGGCACAGAGCAGCAGCACAGGAAGGGGGGAGCGGGAAGAGCGAGGCCTGTGGGGGCCCCCACCACCCCCAGAGCTAGTCTCAGACCAGGAAGGGAGCTGGGCTCCAGAGAAGTGACATCACATCGGCACCTGTAACTTCCCCCAGCCCTGCCCCCCGCCCACTGTGCGTTAGGCAGCTCAGGTTCGAACGAGGAGAGGGATACATTCAGACTGCAGACCCCAAGGGTATGCCCAGCTGGGTGCAGGGAGCAGGGAGCCAAGTCAGAGCCTACGGCAGCGCCACCCACTGGGCTTGAGGGCAGACAAGCCAGGGCCGGGCACACGGGCTCTGAGGGCCCAGCACAGCCAACCCCGACCTTCATTTGGGAGCAGTAGCCAGACCAGGCCCATCACAACTGAAACAGCCCTGCGGCTCCTGTCCTGCCCCAAACTAAAGTGCACCCCAAACCCTCCAGCCCTGCCACAGAGCTCTGGCTCCCCATCCCAGGACACAGGAAAGGCCCCTCCCCACCATGCTTTTTGGCTTTAAACCTGAACTTTCAGAGAGGTTGGGCCTAGGGGTAGTGGCAGCAAAAGCAGCAGCCATCATGTCGACCATACAAACGACCTGAGAAATCCCACCTGTGCACCACCCACGCAGGACTGGCTCGGGCTATGTACAGGGGAGAGGAACGGCCAACACTCACAGCCACGGACGCACGCGCACACACCTGCTGGAGGGTGGGGGCCTGAGGAACACCTGCCCCCCGGCCGGGAACGGATGGCTGCACGCGCCATTCACGTGTCTTCAATGGGGCCTCTGCATCATATATTCATTGAACCAGTGCAAAAACACCATTTGCGGGGCAGGCAGGCCAGGGTCCCAGGAAGATACGGGGGTGGGGTGGGGTGAAACGTGGAAGAAGAGGGCCTTGCTTCCTCTTCCGCCCGCAGGCACGCCCCCTTCTCCTGGAGTCTGGCTCCCTGGTGACGGGGCCGCTGGCTGACTGTCCGTCTGTCTCCCTCTCTATCCCTGCACGCTGGGAGAAGGGTCCTTGGCAGCCGGGGGCTGGGAGCCCAGGTCCTCTGGGGCCCCCGCTGGCGCGGGCTCGGTGGCCATGGGCTCCTCGGCCCTATCCTTGTTTCTGCTGGCCTCCTGGAGCTGGTGCCGCCGCGCCACCTCGGCTTTCAGATTCTCCAGGTCTTTTTGGCTGAAGAGAAGGGTGGGGATGGAGGTGGGTCTCAGGAGTCCTGGGCCCTCCACCACCCTCCTGGCTTTTGGGATAAACTCAGGCTCTGTGCTCTCTTCAGTGGGAAACGTGTGTGAACAAGTGCTTCCCTCCTGAAGGCCGAGGGTCCCTGGACATGGAGAAGGTAAGGACCCCGCACCTGACCCAGTCTCCGGGCTCCCCTCACACCCAAGTCCAGTCACTGCCCTCTGCGGCCTCCCTCCAGAACAGATGGAGGAAAGTGGAGTCGCGGCGCTGCTCCCAAGCCCTGCGGACCATTTTAAATCCACTCCCCCCATGAGGCCACACTGCTTGTGAGCACCCGGGGAGCCCGGGGCCTGCTCCTCAGGCACACCCCGCCGTGGAAGGGGAGGCGGCGGGGAGGGAACGAAGCGGCTTCGTAGGTACTGGATGGGAAGACGCCAAGATACACCGTGTGAAGCCGAAACACCAAGGTCTTCACTCATGGAACAGGAGGATGCTGAGTGAAATAAGGGGTGGGGCGCGGTGGCTCCCGCCTGGAATCCCAGCACTTTGGGGGGCCGAGGCGGGCGGATCACGAGGTTAAGAGATTGAAACTATCCTGGCCAACACGGCGAAACCCCGTCTCTACTACAGACACAGAACTCAGCCGGGTGCGCGCCTGTAATCCCAGCTTCTCGGGAGGCCGCTGAGCCCGGGACCCGGAGCTGGCAGTGACAGAGACCGCGCCACTGCACCCCAGCCTGGGCCACAGAGCGGGGCTCCCACGCGAAAACCAGAAACCACCAGGACACGCTTCTGAGCGGGGCGGGGGCTCACCTGAGAGGAATGAAGAGGATGCCGTTAATGACGTTCAGCTGCTCCAAGACGCTGGCCATGCTGGGGGCTGTGAACTGCGGGGCGGGGAAAGGAGCCGTGAGCGGGGCTCCCGCGCCCGCTGGGCTGCAGGG